ATGCCTAACCTCAATATTGCTCACCTTATTACACCTACCACTTCACACGGGAGGGAGATAGAACGCAGGCACCTATGATCGAAAACAGCTAACCAGGCTTTTCATGTCTTCGACTCTCAATGGCCAGGTCTCACTCGCAGCCATAAAGGAGGATGAAGCTGACTGATGATCAGTACACCCGCCCTTTGGTCGACAGCCAGCTGGCTGGATATCACATCTACGTCAGAGACGGCGTAAACTGTAATATGCGAAACTAGCCCTCTGTATCCATACTGAGATTTCCTCAGAGATCAACCCATTGGGGCCATTTTAGATTAGACTGTAGAATAAAACTAAAACAAGATGATGGGTGGTTAGAAACTAGCTAGCATTTATAGGAAACCGAATCACACTCTAATAAATACTTAGACTTGAATTCGTCGCATCCAGAAAGGGTAAAATAGGTTCAGTCAAATGTCTATATAATCGAGCCAAGAGCCCAACTAGTAAGTCAGAAGATCTAATTAATGAAATCAAATAAATAAAGGAAGTATTGGTAGTGAAGATTAGTAATAAAAATGACGAAGATAATATCGAATTCAAAGCCTCTGTGGTACTGACTTGCAAAAGAAGGGATGTCAGAGGCCCTACTTAGAATTCTCATTAAGACTGGAACTAGTTGGGGTTGTCATTTAAACCAACCAACTCTCTAAGAGAGATAAACTTTGTCAGCTTAAGGACCTGATAGATCCAATTAATTAAGTAAAATAATTTAATTTACCAAATACCAAGTGATGACTGTGAGATCTACGACAGACGTCAAACTAGTAGATCGGGGTCAATCAGATTATTGAAACAAAAATGTAGCTAGCTAGACCCAGAATGATTGACCCTGTTAATTTAAATAAGCTAGAAAAAACAGACCTCAGCCATTGAAGTGCATTCACACGCTTGTAATCACACAGTGATAGTTTGGACAGGGCTAGAGTATTAAAAATTATATAGTTAGGTGGAGTGAGAGAGAGAGGTTGATCACTGAAGCTTTGTTTATCGATTCAACACCGCACACATGCAATCGGAATGGCGCAACGCCCATATACCAGAGATATGGATGTTTGAAACTCATAACTTTTAGTGCCATCCTATTTAAGAAATACATGAAGCTCCTATTCACCACATCTGATCAGGATAGTGATTTTGAAATAATAATAATAATGCAGGAATTTAGTCGTCAACACTTATTAAGCTTCATCCAATTTGTATTTTGCTATGTTTCACCATCAAAAAGGTTAGGTAATTCCTTCCAGTATGTAGAAAACAACAAATAAACTGTCTTACCTACATGTCGCAGTGAGTGAAGATGTCCCACCGAGGCTCGAACCCAGTACCCATAGTTTCAAACGCCAAATTAATATGACCCGTTGCACAAGAGGTGGCCAGCCCTCGTTACCAAGTGGTCTGGTGAATAACGCTTTGCCGTTTGAAACTCTGGGCACTGAGTTCGAGCCTCGGTGGGAACATCATCACTCACTGGAGAATGCAGGTACATCCAGCTGACAAGACCCAAATAGAACGAAATGCACATCCTGGATTCCACTGCTAGCCACCATCCACCAGTTGAATACCAATTAAATGTCCAGACATCGTCGAAGCATTTGCACAAGAAGCCGATATGTCAACCTGAGACGGAGCACTTCGGTCGAATCAATCGACGGGAAAATCAAAAATCCAATTAAATGTCATACCTACATCCTGTAGAGAACAGAAGCAGACATTTCAAATATATTACTTAACGTCGGTAGTTAGAAAGATTTCTATAAGGAACATAGTTGATGGCAGCCATTAAACACATAGATTATAGTGCTCACACCGACTGCATTTCCTACTATATCGGTCTCAAAAACCTTTCTGCAAATAAAAAGGACAGATTTCGTTTAATTATTCAGAATTAAATGTCTGCATCTATTGGAGTTAAAAGTGGTACAACAGCTGAGGATACTCCGAGAATCATCTCTTCATACCTCATACAGTCACTTCACACACACACACACGGTGTCTCCAAATCCAAATTCTTCTGTTTTTCTAGTTATGACGTCAACACCCATGCTCAAAACTAATCTATGGGCACCACTGTGAATCGGTAGAATTTACTTTAACAACTAACTCAGTTGTGGAAGTTGTGATGTTTATTCAGATGATAGAAATTACCCACAAATTTAGTAGTGACTGCACTAAAGCAACAAGATTTGTGGAATATCTACATTGGCAAACTATTCATTCAAATCTGAATTCAGTGTAGGAGGAGGTGTCCTGTTATCTGGGAAGTTCTTTGTAATCAGTTAGAATGCTTATGGTTTATTTCTCTGTGTTCGTATTCCTTTCATAACTCCTTAGAACTTGGATGAATGGGTACTTTCTCATTATTCAGTAGTTGACTGCCGTTGGTTGAAAGTAAAATCTTATAACTTTAGAATGAGTCGAGAAATTATAATGTGGTTTTCCTTTATAAATCACATGCTGTAGATTCTTTATGTATTTCATTTATACTACTGAAATGAATTCAGTAGTAAAGCTGGAATGGTACAATAGTCTTCTGAATTCTCTGTGGAATTTTTATCGAAAGCTTACTGGAAACGGAATATCATGCAATGACTGTGTGGTCAGCTACCTAGGTCAAACTATTAGATCGATCGTGGTCAACTAGATTGTTGGAACATCAAAAATTCAGCTAGCAAAACCTAGAATGGCTCACCCTGCAAAGAAGTTAAATAACCTGGAAGACAGCTCAGTCATTGCATTGCGCTGCATTCACTTGCATATAATCACACAGCCATAGGGTGAGAGTATTAAAAAGTAATGAATGTAGTTAGGTCGAGTGAGAGAGAGGTTCATCACTGAAGATTTGTTTAACGGTTCAGCATTGCACATATGCAATCGGAATGGCACAATGCCTATGCGGACATACGGAAAGTGGGAACAAACAGATAGACCGAATACATATATTAGACACGCTGTATTTTGATTGGACATTAGTAACTAGTGTGATGTATCTAGTCCTTTCTTCGCTGCAAACTGAATTCTATCAATCAGGTTTCTAGTGTGGCCGCCATTTTAGGTAGCTCGTCATCATGGTGCACATTGGTTTGATGATATTAGATGGTTGGAGGCAATCGGCAGGTATCTCAGAAGGGACATGAGTTCCTTCAAGGTTGCAGGTGCCCCTTGCTAATGAGTACCAACTAGCACGAAACCTAGGTCCAAGGCTTCCTGCAGCCGATTGCCTCCAACCATCTAATAGACACACTGTGAAACCGTGTGATTAAACTGATATAATTATGAGTGGCAATAATTTATGCTCAAAACGTAATCCTCATCGCTGTGATATACATTATGAGTTGCATTTTACCAGTGCCCAAATTCTGCACTAACATTAGTAAGGTATTAAACCACACCTGCATCAGGTTCCCACCACAGGGCAATAACAACTTATAAACTTACCATTTTATTGTTCTAGTTTGTGAATCATCGGCAGTACGCACCCACTGGGGTTTCAATAAGGAACCTTCCGGTTACAAGGAAAGCTAGCTCGTATACATTTCAGCCACTGAGACCAGTGCGTGAATTCCAACTTCTACAAATTCGTGATTTGGTGCGATCACCAAACATTGTCGTCGGCGGGAACCGGATCCTCACATTTGACTGGATGGACGCCACTGGCCATGACTTCTCACTAGAACTGACTCCAGGAAACTCCATCCTGTAGCAAGTCACTAGCGAGCATCACAATTGGTAGAAGTTAGAATTCATGGGCTGGCCATCGCATCGGTTCCCGGCGGCTGAATGGTATACGAACTCGCCTTGTAATCGTAAGGTCCTAGGTTCGAACCCCATGTTCTGGGTGCGTACTACCCAACGAGTAGGATGAAACAGCTGCCTGTCCAGTACTCCAGTGCTGGTTTCCAATGGTTCCCTGACTGACATCAATCCGTGATCAAACTCGTAAAAATGAAGAATAGACATACTTCTGAGTCAAAGAGATGATGGTTCAATAAGGCGATCAATCTACAGAAAGCCCACTTGGACAGGGCAATACCTTAATTTTCACAGCTTCTGTCAATTACAGTATGAGAGGCTTGGTGAAATGTCTATTTAAGAGGATCCAACGTATTTGCACTGCTGCTGTAATAGAGGAAGAAAACAAAATATTGATGGATATTCTTGTCGAAAACGGATATCCTTTAAAATGTGTAAATAGGTGTAGAAGTCAATTAGTCTCTAAACCTACAATCTATACCGCCCCTAAGAAAAATGTTTTCATCAAATTACCATATGACGGGGAAATAAACACTAGGATTTTGAGGCAAAGGTTGAATTCGATCATCCGTAGAACCTATCAAGCAGCCCAACTTTTGTTGCAAACCTCAAAAGTGCACAAGTGATTATGTCACATCCCACATTATTTACCAATTTTCGTGTGTGTGTGTGGTCATACATACATAAGGAGGAGTAATCGCGCTTTGCACGTGAGGGTGGGAGAGCATATCCCAAAATGGTTAGAAAAACAGATGAATTGTGACAAGCCAATAGATGCAGGTGTCAGACTAACAACTTCGTCTATAGCTAAACATCTAATCGAGATGAACCATAAGATTGGTGTTAACTCAGCCTTTAAGGTCATCTGTAAAAACGGTCAAGGGCGCTTATTGAAATACACCGAGGCTATAGCTATTCATAAACTTAAGCCCCTCCCCCCTGTGTATTCAAAAACAGTTTATTATTACTCTTAACCCACCTTGGTAATCCTTATTTGATTGAATTACCAAACGTTGTGTTAATCATTCTTAAATCCTTTTATGCGTCACTTTGTTTAATTTAACTTTTCACATACATCTATCGACTTGACAAGTAAATGTGTGATCAGATTGTTCGAAATGTATAGCGGAAATTTTTCAGATAATCTCCGTCTCCTAATAACGCTATCCAAACTTTATTATTCTCCATCAAACACACGAAATATCAAACTGATTTAGAAAATACATTATTATTGTTATTATTAGAATTAAAATTATACATAAACGATCAAGAATCATCAACCTTAAAAATCACAATGTATTATAGAATTTTACAAGTGACAAGTGACAAAGAAAGTTTAAACGAAAGAATAAGAAATAACAAGAAGAAACTGAAACAAAATAATCGAAATTAAAAAAAACAAAAACAAAAGACAACGGCCTTGAACAAGAGAAGTTGAGTTCAGACTAGTTCATGGAATGAAACTCTGGAATTATTGATTTTTTTTAAATATCATTACACCTTTTATATACATTTTATTTTGGTTTATTTTTAACAAACAATAATTTATACAATTAACAGCAGCAAAAAAAGAAACCTTGCAATCGATCGATCATATGTTGGTGGTAATGTCTACGCCTTCCCCAGCTCCCCTCTCAATCGCCATAGGTTGCCTACTACTGCGTTTTCTTAGCCTTAACAGGACTGACGGTAGTAGAAAGACCATCTCCATCATCACCTGCTTGACCAAATTCATTTACACGTGATCTGTCTACAGGATATAACCTGGAAAATAAAACAAAAGGTAAACTATAAAGCATGCACAATTGTTAATCATTCGTTTTATGACATTAATTTTGTCAGATATGCTGATGACCTGGCTGTAGCTTTGCCTGTCAAATGTCAAAGTGACTGCTCTTAACTAAATGGCTTTTTATCAGGTATCAGCCAGTGGTCAAAGGAAAACGGTCTTACCTTAAATCCCTCTCTCTAAATGTTAAACAGTCAATCAATTTCATCTTTAGGCATAAATCTGACCTAAACAAACTGGTGAGGCTAGCACTCACGAGGTATGCAACATAGATGCATAGCACTGCGATAGAAACCAAGTCGGAAATTGAACACCTAGACGTCATTCTATCTGCTGATCTTCCCCGGTCGTCTCATACCTTGATGATTTCCAGGAAAATATTCCGTCTTACCTTTAACATCAAGAAGTTCAGACATTCTGGAATAACACAACCCTTACTCCTACAATTCGTTAACTCTTGCACCCTGCCTATTATTCTCTATTGTTCCCCCTTAGTTTTTCCATGGCTGGCTACTGAAGAAGGACTATATCTTATTACGAAGGATATTAAAGGTTGTCAGCAGGGTAAGCAACGTGCCACTTAACCAGCTTGTTTATATTCTGGTTGACAGGCACTCGGACTCCGGTGAAAAATGGGCTAAATCAACCCATTCTATCTAACTCACACCACCCTCTTCATTCACAACTCGCCCCTTGTATCTCATCACGCAGAACCACAAGCCTATATAGAAAACTACATGCTCACACTAGAAAGTACAAAAACCCAACTCAACCATATCCTACTTGGCTCGTGTTCTGTGCGATAAAGAAAGCATTAGACGTGATACCTATAACTTATTAAACAGTCAGTAAAACAACTGGATCTTGTCTTTCCAACTCATATCATTTATAGGTACAACGTTTTCTTTCTTTATTGCCCTTTTCTCTCTCTTTTTTTCTGTTATGTGCTGTTTTGTTTCTCTCTTCCTTACAAACTCTACTTAAAATATTCTTCTTCGTTCTTTCACACCTGTATATCTCGACCTTTTTGTTACCGCTTACGCCAGTAAATATGTTAGTAGTATCTACTTTTCTAACACCTTCAAAAACACTCTGTTTAAATTTTGGCTTTGCTACCGACATGCTAATATGTTGTTGTCAAAACTGACTGAGATAACTTTAATCTATGTAGAACTTTTTTTATTGTTAATGTACAAACTGGATGGGCAATACTGTAGCAAAATGCTGAGAATTCCATTCTGTATCACAAGCACTGTTTTAAAATAAAGCAAATTATTATTATTATTAGCAGGACCGACTGAATTTCCGCATAGAACACTCAACAGACAAGTGTGCAGTAGTTCAAGTCACTATATTTAATGTAGCATACAAAGGTAAAGAAAAGAACTATAATAGGCAGAAATATACATATCAGAGAATGAATAATTACATGAAGAGAAACACGACGGTTTAATCGATATGGGGAGATAATAAAAAGTCAATGCGCGTCTGTGATTTTAAGCTATATTCACCAGTGGTCTCCAGTCAATTGGTTCTGAGCATCCTGAGGATCTAAACCAAATAGTCTACACCTTCATATATATGTACATATATATGTCTTTTTTTGACATAGGACTTTGCACCGATGTGCACCAGTTCAAGTCGCCACACTCCCCCATGTACCACACAAAGCAAGAGAAGAAAGTAGAAGAAATGCATAATAGAAACAGTAAACAGAGGTGTGAGACAAAGGAATAGTAATAATGAAGAAAAATATAGTTTCATTGGGAATCATAAGCCACAAGGAGTGGATGCATCTGCGCCATCCAGCCATTGAGAACGATCACTTTGAGCCATATCACCGATTGTTTCCAGCCTTCATTGGTTTTTACCGTATCGAGGAAAGCAACCAGTCAGGAAGTTTACACCTTCCTACTTGGCTGGCTAGCTTTAGCTAACTGTTGTGGATTTCATTGACTGGTGAAGCCATGTTTTGGTTTGACCACCATGTGCTAGCTCTTTTCCAGCCGGACTCTGTGTCAGCTAATATCGCTCGTCCAGGAAGGCGATCGATAGCTAGGCATACGTAACATATGTCCTAACCATCTCAGTCGATGTAGCTTCGCAGCCTCGTCCATTGATTTCCCCTCCCACCTACCTAGCACTTGACCGAAACCTAACCTAAATATTGCTCACGTTATTATTCCACTTCACACGGGAGATAGAACGCAGGCGCATATGATCAAAGATAGCTACTCATTTCGTGTCTTCCACTCTCAATGGCCAGGTCTTCCTCACAGCCATAAAGGAGGACGGGGCGGACTGATGAGCAGCACACATATCCTCTGATTGATAGCTGGTTATCACGTCTGCATCAGAGATGATGTAAGTTGGTAAATGCCTTCACGAACCTTTTGTATTCGTGGTGAATTGTCAATACAATCAACCAATTAGGGCCGATGCAACTTCCCTTACCAATTCACTAGGAGTCGGAGTAGAAGTCCAGTTATTCCCCACATAATATCTTACATTTAATATGAGTGAAAAGCGTATATCAAACAACCGAAAATTTCTGACAAAGATGTCCAAAAGACTCTGCATTTTGTCGAATAAAAGAATAAATAGTAGTAAGTTTATTTATTTTGTTAATAGTGATTGTAATTTGTCTTAGTAAGTATTACATCTGTCGTGAACACACACTAAGTGAATTACTATGATATGATTATTATTATTTAGTTCATTCCAGTATTTATGTATACAACATAATTTCTGACTTACACATACATATGAAAGAAAACTTCTCTAACTGCATTGAATGTTAAGAAACGTCAATTCCAGGGGTTTCAGATACACCTTATTGATGAGTGTCGGCAAGAACGGCTCACAGTCCTCCCCCGCTTACTACTTAACATGATGGTACACTACATTTCTTGGACGTCCAATTGAGCAGAAGAGAGGATGGTTCACTCAGGAAAGATGTTTATAGGAAACCTACATCTGTAGGACAATTTACACATTTCCTCAGTTTTGCACCGATCAGATTCAAAGTCAATTTGGTGAGATGCCTCACGAATAGAGCAGGACGTATCTGTACAGATGACTTCCTACAAAATTAGTTAGAATACATCCGAAATACTCTTGTCCAAATGGGCTATCCTGGTAGATATGTAAGGAGACACATTAACACCAAGTACAATAAAGAGGAACTGACAACAGTCGAAAAGAAACAACTGTTCAAGAAATTGAAATTTAAGGGGGGGGGGACGTAGCTAGCGAAGTCTTACATCTGAGATTATCGAGAGCGATAAAACGGACTTATACTGCCACCAGCCTTTGTTTTTCATTTTCCGGCCAACCAATTATCATTACTCAAGCGAAAGACAAGCTACCCAGCTGTACCACTTTTGTGTGTATCTACTAATTTAGTTGCTTCTGTGGACAGAGCCATATAGGGCGAACAACTAGACAGCTCAACAAACGCACTACAGAGCATCTTCCTTCATGGTTCTGAGAAGGTCAAATAAAATCTATAAGAAGTTCCAGTTTTGCTCATTTGATTGTGATAGCGGTCACCAAGTGGACAAAAATAGTGCCTTCAAAGTTATCTATCGCATATTCCATCGAGCATTTCGAACGGAATTCGAACCCGCCTTTTAAACACATAGCCGAAGCTATGGAAATCAATTCGAGAGAACAATCCTAGTCTTTGCATACAAAAGAAGTTCGTTCTACCTTTGTTTCTCTCTCCCTTGCTTGCCTAGGTGAATTCTATTCAAAACCCTCCCACCCTTTCTTATCTTCCATCTCCTTCGTACTTTTATGATATTTATTTAAACTCTGATTATCTGTCCACTTCACTTGCCTTTAGTATTACGTAACTTTTAAGGTCTGACCTAATTTATTTATTGAATTGTCTACATATACTGTCTGTCTGTCTGTCTGTTTTCGACATAGAACTTTGCACAAATGTGCGGAAGTTCAAGTCGCCACACTCCGTGTAGCACGCGAAGCAAGAGAAGAAAGTACAAGAAAAGCATAATAGAAACAGTGAGCAGAGGGGTGAGACAAAGGAAGAGTAATAACGAAGAACAAAACAGTTTCATTGAAGATCATAAGTCACAGGGAGTGGATGCATCTGCGCCACTGAGAACGATTTTGAGCCATGTCACCAATTGTTTCCAACCATAGATTTTTACCGTCCCGAGGACCCCAGCCTGGAAGTCTACACCTTTCTACGTGGCTTAGACCAACTGTTGTGGATTTCATTGACTGATGCCAAGTTTTTGTTTGACCGCCGCTACATATACACATATCACTCACTACCTTTGTTATTCTTATCGCCACCTGCATAAACCTGATTATCAATATTTTGTTATCATTATAATCATCGTTATTAACTACGTTGAAAACATTTACCACATTATTATTATTATTATTATTATTAAGATTATTTGATCCGCCGTCATTGATTAAAAATTTTCATATATAAATCTATGTAAATTGGAGTAAAGCCTGATGAAGATCTAATTGAAAACAACATTGTTCGCTTATGTGTCTTACTCCTTAACACCCAAACAGGGTTAAAAGTGTCATCATCTGTGAGTCATCCAGCCGAGGGAATATATGTGTGTAGTGCTTTCATGAGCCCGAATAGCTCAGTGGTAACGTCTCTGACTGAAACACTCACTGGTTGACGCGGGTACGAGTCTCAGAAAGTACACGACTTCCCCTTCAAGTTTGTAGATACGCCTTGCTGAGTGGCGAGTACCAACTAGCACGAAAACTAGGTCTCATGCATCGATGGCTCAGCGGTAAGTTGCTCGCTAACCACACACATTTGGTCCGTGGTTCGATCTCTGGCTGAAGCACTCATAGACCTCGCTAAACCGGTGGTAGTATATTTATTTTTTTATTTTGTTTTTTATTTTTGGTTACAGCTTGATTCCACACTGTATTTTTGGTACAAGTATGGAATTTTCAGCATGGATATCGGTAGCCCATATTTCGCAGGCCGACCATAGATACCATGTGTGCGTCAGTGTGTGCTCGAACCCCGGACCATGTGCATGGTTGGCGAGAGTCCTAACCACCGTGCCACCGACGCACCGGCGTACAGCGGTCGTCAAAGAGGGAAGGTTGGGCGTCGTGAGGTTGGTAACCCACCCACCTTGTAAAAATAAAAACCATTGCTACTGAAACTTCTGAGCTCTAGCTTGAAACCCTATGTTCCACCGGGGAAGTATAGGAATGAAATAATACAAAAATTACTTTCATGGGTGATTCGAAAGTTAATCTCAAAATACCCCTATATAGAGTGTAGCATATTTTTATACTTTCCACACATATCCACGTTCGAGATCAATATGAAAGAAATACAAATGTCATTATTCAAGTATTGGTTTGTAAGGATTCTATTGGTTACAGGATTTCATCATGATCTGAGAAGCACTGGAAAACCTGGGAGTACTGGACAGCTGTTTCGTCCTTGTAACCGGAAGGTCCTAAGTTCGAACTCTGGCGGTGGGTGCGTGCTGTTGAAGAGTCCTAAACTGAGCGGACGAAACAGCCGTCCAGTAGTCCCAGGTTTTCCAATAGTTCTCTAACCAATGTCAGCTCATGATGAAATCCTGCAACAAATGCCTTTACTTGACTGATGAAGTTCGCCACTGACGACGAATACATAAAAACAAGAGAGATAGAGAGAGGAGAAGTAAACAAAATTAAAAAACAAACAAGAGGTTAGTCACTAATACATTCAGAAGTGTGTGTGTGTGTGTGTATGTGAATGAATTCGAAATATTAACACTTGACAGCAATCATTATTCAAGTATTGTTTTGTGTAGGGATTTGATTGACTGGTTACAGCACTCTGTCATCAGCTGAGATCGGTTAGAGAACCATTGGAAAACCAGTTGCGAGTAATGCCAGACAGCTGTTTCGCCTCACTAGTCTGGGACTCTTCATCAGTACGCACCCAACGCCAGGGTTCGAATCCAGGACGTTCTGGTTACAAGGAGAGCTAACTCGTAGACCATTAAGCCACTAGGACCCGATCCAACGGCCCATGAATTACAACTTCTGCCTATTCACGACATAGCGCGACGGCGAGTATTTGTCCTCACAACCGACGTGCTGCACCCTACTGGTCACGACACCCCACTAGAACCCCAGGTAAATAACTGCCTACCTGAATAGGGCCAGTTGCCAGCGAGCATCTCATTGATATTCAAGTATTTCTTCGTAGCGACTTGATTGATTGGTTACAAGATCTCATCATGAACTGCAGAATCCCAAACTAGTGGGACGAAACAGCTTTCCAGTTCTCCCAGCTGGTTTTCCAATGGTTCTCTAACCGACGTCAGCCCAAATTACTATATACGTAAAGCAAGAGATAAACTTCTCCCAATATCCGTAACGTTACCACATGAAAAAACAAACAAACGCATGTATCTATCACTATGTAATCGGACTTTACACACACACACACACAGACACACGCACATACCATCGTTGATATAGGTAGATTAGAAATATCAAATCATCACGTAAACAAGCGATCCGATGAGACGTCGGCATGACAATAATAAATGCGAAGAAATCGTCGATAAATGTATTGAATGCCTATAAAAGAAAGAAAAAATAACAAAAAGGTACAAACAAATTAAGTAAGGTACACACACACACACACAAGGTTACTTTTGCTCATTCCTTTACTCTCCAAGTGGAAAATTCGGCTTTATTCCAACTTTAAATCTTGAAGTTTCAGTAGGAATGGTGTTATTTTTCACAGTGGGTTTTGCGAGGCATCATGCCCAGACTTTCACTCTTTTCTGGGCTTGTCGAGTGGCAAACTGAGCAAGGCTTAGGGGAATCGACCCCAGGAGCACTTATGTGGCTTGCTAGCAAGTAAGGTGAACAAACAAGGTAGGATAATACAAGTATATATATATATATGTATATATATATATCGATTATCAAAATGTGCACTAGTTATCGTTACCTGGTAAATTTTGTAAAGTTGTTTCTTGAGTGATCGATAATACCATCACATAAATAGGAAGAGAGGCGAATTATAGATTTTAACATGAGCACATATTTTTAGTACCTTTAAAATATTTATGCGTTGAAGTTTCTGTAGTAATTTGGTTAAGTTTTGGGGGTGGAGTTGATAGCACCACCGGCTAGAAAACTAGCGAGCTAGTAATCTAGGCGATGGCCGGAAAGAATCACCAACAAGAAAATATGGGAACAAACAAAACAAGATCAAATCAATCGCCAACCAACAAATATGCAGGAGAAAATGAAGATGGATGGATTGGACACTCACTCGCTGAGGAGGCCGCCACTGGGTGACATCGCGTGCGCGTCAGGCCATTTCTCGAGTGGAACCAGGTCGAAAGGGAAGCACGCGGCGAATGGGACGTCAGTGCAAGGGTGGGTGACATGGAGGAGATCGTATGAAGAGGAGTATGGCCTAACAGTATGAACTAACTAACATGGATGCAGGTGAAAAGTACAGCAGAAGGAAGACAGAAGCAAGTGGAGACATGAAGTTGAAGCCCTATGTTCCACTAGGAACCTAAGGGAACAATAATAAAAAAATACAATAAATGAGCTCATAAACTATGTCGAGGTGAAGACACCTAACCGATAACACCACCACCAACAACAACAGCAACAACAACAACAGCAACCTTCAATAACCACCAACGGTAGAAGAAAGTAATCTCTCTCTCTCTCTCACGTTCCTAGTCAGCATCGTTTCAACTACAGGCGACAACACGAAAAAGGATGCGTTAAAGGCAGTCGGGATCAGAAAAGCACAATAGACATTCGTTATACTCTAGAATCAATGTGCAAAATCTACAACAAGCAACAGTAGAAAAAAAAGAACAAGATTTGAATTCTGTTCAACACGAATGTCAAGTCCATATGGGGTTCAGAGGACGTGGTAAGTGCGCGCGTCACCATAAGCATTTCCAACAGACTACACCCTCAGGAGACTTTTATCAACAGTTGACCACTTCGCTTGATACTAAGGATAAGATTGCTACAATAGACTAAGAACAGGGAATTCTGGTAGGCAGTCAACCAAACAAGAACCTACCGCTCAATAAATATGTAGCAGGAAATGGAGATGGATTGAACATATATACTGAGGAGACCATTGAATGATATCTCAAGACGGGCCTTGGGAATGTGAAACGACGAGTTGGGCATTCGTCTGCAAGTGACATCCAGGAAACCGTGCAAGCAAGGGAATGACGGCTTATCGACAAATGTGCAGCCAGTTAAGAAAGACTACAGAGAACTGAAAGTGAAATGGAGATGTGCCGTTGAAGCTCGAAGTTCCACTGAGGACCCAAGGGAATAATAATAATAATAAATTGTATGGATATATAAAACTGTTCTCAATGCCACAGATATACTTTGGGTGGTGTGATACAGACAATGTGTTGGAACGGAATATTATTCCCACAAATCAATACTGCCTTAGCAACAGAATACCATACATGAGGTTGAACATTCTATTTCATGTCGCTTAATGTAAGACGAAATCACACGCTTAGTAATGGGTTACAGCGCATAAAATGAATATATATATATATATATATATATATATATATATATATATATATATATATATATATATATATATATCAACAGTGGTTTGATCAACTGAAAATATACATTGGCTACCGGGTCCTGTCTTCTGCTGTTACACACTTGCTCTTTGTGGTTACCCAAACCCATTCAATTTTCATCATTCTACACAGAACTATTCTGTGGATAAGATTTTATTTTGATAAAGTGTCACACAGTGTTGTACATGTACATGTTAACTGATGACGTTTCGGGCACAAATTATTGCCACTCATAATCATATCAAGGTACTCACTCACACAACTATTTCCTTCATTTATATACATGAGTGGAATCGATTAGATATTGGAATAAAAATCAATATGAGATAATGTACACTCAGAAATAAAAACAACAACAATAACAACCATCTGATTGTAATTGATTAATAACACTCGTATTATTATTTCTGAATGTACATTATCACATATTGATTTTTATGCAAATATCTAGTCAATTATACTAGAACAAGAGTGTTAGAAAGGACAAAAGACAATTCTACGACAACCTGGCCACTGAAGCTGAGAAGGCAGCAGGCAAAAGGGACCTGAGGACATTATATCAGATAACCAAGTCTCTATCCGGGAAGAGATCAACACAAGTGAAACCTATAAAAGACAGCCAAGGGAACTCAATTACCAAGGAAGAGAGGAAGATTAAACAATGGGCGGATCACTTCAAAGGACTCTTCAACCGACCACCACCTGAAACCCGTCCAGAAATACCAACAACAGTGCGTACACAACTGCAACTTGACACCAATCCTCTAACGAAAGCTGAAGTCTTCAATGCAATCAAGCTTCTGAAAGCTGGAAAAGCAGCCGGACCAGATGGAATACCCCCTGAAGCACTGAAAGCGGAACCAGAGACTACAGCAGACATGCTGACTCCATTATTCCAAAAAGTCTGGAAGGAGTAAAAGGTGCCTACTGACTGGAAGAAAGGTTACCTCGTGAAGCTACCAAACAAGGGAGACTTAGGACTCTGCAACAACTGGCGACGAATCGTGCTCCTGTAGACGCCAAATAAAATCCTGAGTCACATCATTCTGGAGATAATAAACGACTCACTGGATACAGAACTCCGGCCAGAACAAGCTGGATTCAGGAAAGGCGAATCATCTTCTGACCAAATTGCAACTCTACGCATCATCACCACAGAACAAAGCATAGAATGGCAATCAAATCTCTACCTCAACTTTATAGATTTTGAGAAGGCCTTCGACAGCGCAGCGTTGACCGCAAAGTAATTTGGAAACTACACGAGGACTACGGCGTACAGTGGCTCAAACATTCATCAACCTCATTCAACAGCTGTACGACAACGGAACATGTCAAGTGATCCACAACGGAAAACTCAGCGAGGCGTCTGGAGTAAAAAAAGGAGTCAGACAAGGGTGCGTGCCTATTATCACCAATGAATGATATTCCTAATTGTGGTGGACTGACTGGATTATGCGTCAGACAGAGATTGGGAAACGAGAAGACAGGGATATCTTGGATCGACCGACGTGAAGAACCTAGAAGACCTGGATTTCGCGTGTGGATGATTTATGTTTGATGTCACTGTCACAAAATCGAAGACTTACAAGCGAGCGAAAACCGACAAACTGGTCGAAGAAGTAGCTAGAGAAGACAGGACTCAGGGTGAACATAGACAAGATGGAGGTTATGAAAATAACCAACCAACCAACCAGCCAACAACAACAACAGCAAAAACATCCAGCGCCAATCACCGTCAACGAGAGGGATTTGAAAGAGGTTAGTTACTTCATTCACTCACTTATCTAGCATTGAGCACTGTCTCAACTACAGGAAGTCGGAACGGACGAGGATGTCAAATCGAGCGAGAGTCGGGAAGGCGAGCGAGAAACACATTCATCAACCTGAAACCAATCTGGAAAACCAATCTTCATCACTCAGACAGCATCAACAACAAAATTCGCTCGGATTTTCAATACAAACTTGGTCAAGTTGGTCACTTCTTCTATAAGGATCAGAAACTTGGCAGGCGGGTCACAAAGAATAATTCCAACAGCATGTTGCGATGCAGACCTTCATCAACCAACAACTGTCTTCGCTGGATCTATACTGAAGATCAGATGGCCGGGCCGGAAACAATCGCCAACAAGGAACTATGGGAACAAACAAACAAAACAAGAACAAACCAATCGCCAACCAAAAAATATGCAGGAGAAAGTGGATATGGATGGATTGGACACTAGTGGCTGAGGAGGCCGCCACTGGGTGACATCGCGCGCGCGTCGGGCAATTTCTCGAGTGGAATCAGGTCGAAAGGGAAGCACGTGGCAAGTGGGACGTCCAGGGGTGATATGGAGGAGATCATGTGAAGAGGAGTTGGCTGGAAGAGTATGGACTAACATGGATGGATGCAGGTGAAAAGTACAGCAGAAGAGAGAAGCAAGTGGAGACATACAGTTGATGTCTTATCCATAATAAGGTTATACTCTAACACCACAGAGCGCAAGTTTTATACTTATATCAATAAAACTATTCCGCGGTTTAATAACCTGAACTACTTTCTCCTAATAAGTGCGAAGGTCTACGTCGAAAAAATTCGCTTCAATCAGTCAGTCACATGAATAAAAATAAACAAAATGGAATTACAATAAAAATATAAAGCAATATGACTGACTGACACACTCACTCACTCACTTTGTAAGTCATCGCCTTCCATGGTAAATGTGCTACAGACTTTAAACGATAATTCAGGAAGAGTTGTGGTGTCATCAACAATAAACCAAAAGCATATACACCTATAAAATATAACAAAATAAAGATGAATAGTATAAAACAAACAGGAGAAGAAAAAGCTATATTTCAATGAACAAACAGCAATTAAAACACATCACAGGGTTCACGGTTATCAATGTTTACTAAACTACTTCATTTAAAAAACAAGCAATGAATGCTGATTTTAAATGTGATTGTTTTTTTAAATTTTATTTAAACGCAGAAATATTTGGTACAGTATGACAACAAAAAAAGATGCGCCACACAATAATAATAAAACAACATAGATTAAAAGTAAACAATATAAGTAGAGAACGGATAAAGAACGTCATCTGGAAGGAAAACGGTCATACTTAACAAGTTCAAACAGTATTCGTCAACTACCATCGGGAAGGGAAGAAAGAAGGAAATTGCAACACGTTCGCCACTGACGATTGCGATTCTTGGCCATATCCGATAACGTTTCAAGCCATCTATTTGAACTATCTCGCGCGCCCCAACCAGGGAGTCGTGACGCACCACCAACCGATGCTAATCTAGCACAAACATTCTTCATCCCACGATGCCACGTCATGCACTGACCACCTCTCCGCCTTTTCCATCCCGTCCCAGGGTTGGCTAGTGAACAGAGACCTGTACGGAAGCCTCCTCTGGGATGACATTCACAACACATGCCCAAACCACCGGAGCCGGTGTTTCCACATGAAGACACTCAATGAATGGTGATCTCCATTGTGTTCAAACACACGCGATGATGCCATCGAACGCGGGCAAGCAAACCTGCGGAGACAATGATGATCGAACACTCAGAGTCGCCGCACATCCTCAGCTTACTCAGAGAGGCCAGGTTTCACAGGCGTGGAGCAAGACAGACCGCACCGAAGCATTGTATGCCCGATCTTTGACAGCCAGACTAACGTCGCGACGGCACCAGAGGTTGATGTATGATGTTGATGTATGCCACCCTAGCCTTCATTATACGGTTGGAAATCTCATCCGTCACCCCTCCGCCACCACTCACACAACTACCCAGATACACTAACTTATCAACAACTTCAAGCAACTCACCCTTAAGAGTGAGTGCACGTAAAAGCTCCTGCCAGTCTTGTAACAGTACCTTGCACTCAGACTGTTCAAAGTACATACCATACTTACAGACACTGATCGTCAACTGATTAATTGCGATTTGGGAAGCCTGCATGCTATCGCATAGTAAGACGATATCGTCTGCATACTTGAGGTCGAAAAGTCTATCTCCAGGTAGCAGATCTACACCACCTTCACGCACACCCTTCAGAGCTGTTTTTTATAGGATGGGGCTGCTGGCATCAAAACCAACCTTCTATGTTTTTCGGGTCTACTAATAATAGCAAGATAAAGTTTAAGAGTGCTCAGCGGGAAATCGAATCCTGACCACGCGAGTGTAGCTGTTGGTGGTTAAAAGTTAATCATTGAACTGAAATTTATCCCACTTGGTGTGGATGGAATTCAATGTATGACGTGTGTAAGTTTATAACTTCTGTCAGTCTGTGATAATAGTGCTACCTTTAACCAATGGCCTTCGACAAGCATACATTTCACCTTAACACACACACGGTGGACATTACTACTGTCCAAAACTTTGCCGTAACAGCTTCAGCAGATCCATCCAATGGCACAGTGCTGTATCACGAATTGACAGAGTGATGTCAGAATCCACACACGTCACACTGAAACCCAAATGGTCAACCAGCTTCACCACCTCATAATTTGAGGGCCCCTGATGGAGTCGTGCAGGTGTCCACATAGTGCTGTGAAGAGCCCCACAGTGGAAAGAGAGAGAGACAACTGTCCGTCCAGTGATCGCCGTTTCTCACTGATTTCTAAATGATACTGTTTCGTGAGGGTATCTAACAACAACTGAAAATAATTCAAATCCCTGCAACAACAAAGGTAACAACCCATAATCTAAATAAAGTTTATACGTTCACGTTTTAATTTCTGCACTTCATTATATTCAGTTGTTTGTTTTTATGGAGGCATGGATCATTTTATTAGCTTGAGCACTCGGTTTTAGCCCACGAGTGGTCAAAGGTTCGAATCACGCTCTACCTACTTCAGCTTGAGCAAACGGGTAGTAGTAGTAGTAGTAGCGACTGAAGTTGTTTCGGTCTTCTTGGTTCTAGGGGCTTTGTCGGTTTGTCTTGCTGTCTGGAATCTCGGCGCTCGCTGATATTCACCTGTTTCTCTTTGTTTGCCATCGCGATTGTGTCTACGTAACCCCATCTCAACGTGACCATATGTGGTCCTTCCCACTTTGGAAACTGTTTGCCTGACCCTGTCACACATTCGTTAGTATTTCGCCTTACACTTCCATATGCTGTTTTCTCACGACCTCTCAGCAGCGTCCCAAGTAACAACCTCATCGCTGACAGATATGGGACGCCACTCAACTGCTCAGAAGCCTCTACCTCCTGCCCGGAGATCCATATATTTCCATCAAAAACTGCAGGGAATAGGCTTTCCATTTGTCGGTTGAGAGCGACACCAAATGTAACAGGAGACGACAAGGGCCAGGCAACAGATAATAATAATAATAATAACAGCTTGATTCCAAACAGTATTTCTAGTACAGGTATGGAATTTTCAGCGTGCATTCCAATATATTGCATCTAAATACCTCATAAATTTTATGAGATTTTGAAATCAAAAAGTAGCACCCAAAAAAAGAAGATAAATAAAAAGAAAAAGAAACAGCGTTGCGTTTACATTTCAAACAATGCACCACAGGATATGAAATATAAAATTAGTGTGTAATAGAAGATGAGAACAACAGCGTAATAGTAACGAGGAAAGGAAAACAAAAACAAATGGGACTATTTGTTAGAGTGCCGCAGTAAGTTTATTGTGTCATACCTAACAGATTTCTCATCACATAACAGCTGTGCCAGATATGGTATTGTGAAGCTTTTGTACTTGGTAGTCCTAGCATATAGCCTCCTATTGCTGCTTCTAGTTCTATCAGATGAAATGCAAGGAGACAGCTGTGTATAGAGAGGATGCTCGGGGTCCGACAATATTGTATTCGCTAGTTTCTTACATGACATTATATGTCTATCCACAATAGTGTTAACCAGTTGGTTTAACAATACCCCACTTGCCCTACTAACGGCTTTTAGTACCCTTCTCAGCAAAGCAAAGTCTTTCTTAAGTAGTCCAGAAAAGATTAATGGGGAACAGTAAAGGGGGATGGGTAGAATACAAGAATTGACAAACTAAGAATGCAAAGACTGCCTTATGCCAGACTGCCTAAATTTCCTAATGTAGAACGTTAAGCGAAACATCTTTCTAGTAACTATCAAGACGTGGGAGGACCAGGAAAGATCGGTGGAAAAAAGCCTAAGGTACTCGACATTAGATGTATTTTCAGCCTCTATGCCGTCAATGATAGTGGGGCCATGTGAGCTAACTAGTTGTTGTAGGTCACGTTTACGTCTGAAAGTGAAATTGACTACCTGACATTTAGACGGATTAAGCTTAAGTGCGTTTGAAGAGGACCACTGACTAATTTCCGACAGAAAGTTATTTAATTTGGAACAATCTGACTGAGAGTTGACAGGCATAGAAACAGACAGGTCATCGGCATATTTAACAAAAGCGGTTACATTAGAATGGGGCAAGTCATGTAAGAAAAACGAAAACAGAAAGGGAGAAAGAACAGCACCTTGAGGAACACCAGCTAAAGTAAGTGAGGTAGTGGAGGACCTTCCAGTGTAGACGGTGTACTGCTTCCTATCAGAAAAATAGGAATGCAACCACTTATTTGTCCAGTTCTCACCCTGTGTTGCAGCAAGCTTGCTTAGCAAGAGAGACCTGGGAACAGAGTCAAATGCAGATGTGTAATCAAGGAAGGCACAGCGAACGTATTTAGCTCCTTTATCTAAACTAGAGACAATGTTATGGTGTAGTACAACAGCAGTATCTAAGGTACACTACTATGTTTATAGGCAAACTGGTTGGGGTCGTTGAAAGGCTTTAAAGAGGGTTCAAGATTAAGTAAAATGAGTCTTTCCATAACTTTTAAAAAAGGTGAGGTAATAGCAATGGGTCTATACTTAACATTAGGTCCACTTGTTGATTTAGGCACTGGAAAAATCTTGATATTTTTCGATCGTTTATTTAGAAAATCAACACACAATTATAGATTTTCATGTACATTATTATAGATTATTGTTAGCAGACATGCACAGTCTTCTGATTGGTCGTTTTTCACTGAAAGTTCACCTTGCATCCCTTTGTGGCTGTTTCTTGAATGTCAGATCATCTATATGCTAATTGTATCCACCTACACAAAGTCTTATGTGGTTCATTGTTGAATCAGTCTTAGTTCATATTTTTGTCACGACCAATATTGGGGACGCAAACATTGACGTAAATTACTGTCTACCGATTTGGCTAGCAGCCAGCTCTCACCATAGTAGTAGTGTAACGACAGAAGACAAGGGTCAGGCGACAGATCCTCTATTGAGCAAATCAACAGATGATATTTATAGATTTTTATGTACATTATTGCCAGTCAAGAAGCAACCTCTTCTGATTAGTCACCCTCGCACCGACGACCAACTCGCCGCTTCCCTTTCGGCCAGGTTCCACTCGAGCGATGGCCTGTCTAGTGATGTCACTTGATGGTTTCCTCTGAGTATGGCCAATCCAACCCATCTCCATTTCTTCCTGCCTATTTGTTGCACAATCGGTTCCTGCTGAGTTGGTTCGCTCATTGCCAGAGATCCCACTTTTTTGCTGATCTTCTCTGGCTCGCCATCTGATCTTGAGCGGTATTGAGCAAAGACAGCTGTTGATGAAGGTCTGTAGTTTGTTTGAGATGCTCTTTATGACGCGCCAAGTCTCTGATCCATTCGTATAGTAGCACTGACTTCACATTGGAGTTGAAAATCCAGATTTTATTTTCATTTTCATGCTGAGTGCTATTGACCTCCACACAGACTTGAGAGTAATGAAAGCTTGTCTTGCTTTCCCGATTCGTTGCTTTGATATTCTCACCAGTTCCGTCCGCCTGTAGTTGAAACGATGCTTCCCAGGTAGTTAAAGGAGGTTGTTTCTTTCAGGTTCATCCCATTTATGCTGGTTGATTGTTGTCTATCGTTATTGTTGCTGTTGGTTGTGTTGGCCAGGAATCTTTATCACTACACCTGTTTTCTCTATGTTCACCTGAAGTCCTGTCTTCGCTGGATGCTTCTTCTGCCAACTTGTTACTTTTCACTTGCATATCTTCCAGTTTGTGAGAAATCAGACATATGTCATCGGCGAAGCCCAGATCCTTCAAGTTTTTCATGAGGGTCCATTTTATGTCTGTTTCCTCGTTGACAGCTGTCTTTCGCATTATCCAGTCTACTGCAATCAGGAAAATCATTGGCGATAGTAGGCAGCCAGCCAGATTGTCTTACTCCGGTCCTCACTTCGAAGGATTCCGTAAGTTTCCCGTTGTGGACTACTTTGCATGCAGCATTGTCGTATAACTGTTGGATGAGATGTATAGTTGTCGATGGCATCCAATGTCGTCTACATATTTTCCATAAAGTAGCACATTTTCGATTAAATCCTCCAGTAAACTCTCAGTGTATGATATATGGATATCTACTAAAAAGGGATCCAACGGGCTACTCATAGCAACACTATCAACCTGACGGAAACAATCACCTTCAAATGTAAACCAAACATTGATAGTACAGAGAAGTAATAAAGTAGATACAGGGAACAGGATGAAAAAGTTATGTGTGGAAATGTAATCATACAAGATGTCCGTTGTTTTAAGTAAAGGTGTGGTGAGAGGTGGCTGTTAGCCACAAATGGTGGACAGTAATTTACGTCAATGTTTGTGTCCCCAATATTGGTCGTGAGAAGAATGAGAACAAAGACTTTGTGTAGGCGAATACAGTTAACATCTGACATTCAAGAAACAGCCACAAAGAGATGAAAGATTAAGTTTTTGTGAGAAACTAGCAATCAGAAGACTGTTTTTCTGCTAACAATAATCTATCATATTGTACATGAAAATGTATAAATATGTGTTGATTTCCTTAATAAACGATCTGTTGACTAGCCCTTGTCGTCTCTTGTTACATTTGGTGTCGCTCTCAACCGACAAATGGAAAGCCTATTCCCTGCAGTTTTTGATGGAAATATATGGATCTCCGGGCAGGAGGTAGAGGCTTCTGAGCAGTTGAGTGGCGTCCCATATCTGTCAGCGATGAGGTTGTTACTTGGGACGCTGCTGAGAGGTCGTGAGAAAACAGCATATGGAAGTGTAAGGCGAAATACTAACGAATGTGTGACAGGGTCAGGCAAACAGTTTCCAAAGTGGGAAGGACCACATATGGTCACGTTGAGATGGGGTTACGTAGACACAATCGCGATGGCAAACAAAGAGAAACAGGTGAATATCAGCGAGCGCCGAGATTCCAGACAGCAAGACAAACCGACAAAGCCCCTAGAACCAAGAAGACCAAATCAACTTCAGTCGCAAGTCTATGATGGGGGGACGAGTGTGATGAGAGCTGGCTATCAGCCAAAATTGGTGGACAGTCATTTACGTCAATGTTTATGTCCTCAATATTGGTCGTCAGAAAAATGAGAACAAAGGCTTTGCGTAGGCGGATGCAGTTAATATATAGATGATTTGACATTCAAGAAACAGCCACAAAGAGATGCAAGGTTAACTTTCTGTGAGAAACAACCAATCAGAAGACTGTTTTTCTGCTAACAATAATCTCTAATGATGTACATGAAAATCTATAAATATGTGTTGATTTCCTTAATAAACGATCTGTTGCCTGGCCCTTGTCTTTTGTTGTTACAAAGGTACATTAGTGAATAAAGAGTTTACATCAAAAGAATACATATTTTTATTCATAATAATAATATCAAGATATCTTTTAATATATACTAATATTAACACACAAAAATCAAAATCTCATTGCCAATATTATTTACTTACCATTAACCATGGTTTCTAAACACCAAGAGTACCAGCTAAAATTACAACAAAAAAAGAAACATAAGATGAAAAAAAATCAATAATAATAATAGTAGTATACGAGGGGGACACCAGTCTATTGACGACAAAAAACCAGTTGAAAACAGAAGAGGCAAAGACAGGAGTTCAAATGAACACGGAGACGACAGAGATGCTGAAGACAACACAGCCGGTCACCGCCACCGCCAAACACCAAACCTATGTGCGTCGGTAGCACAGTGGTTAGGACTCTCGCCGACCATGCACATAGTCCGAGGTTCGATCCCCTGCCGACGCACATCTGATATCAATGGTCGGCCTACAAAATTTGGGCTACCGATATCCATGCTGAAAATTCCACACTTGTACCAAAAATACGGTGTGGAATCAAGCTGTAATCAAAAATAAAAAAAATAAAAATAAATGAATGAATGAAATGCGAACGAGGTCGCTTCTTTCAATTATTTGAGAAGCACAGCGTTTCAACGACAGGTAGTCGGGGTACTTATGATCATGATGATGATGATGTCAGAGTTAGCCAGTATCGGAAAAGCAAGACAAGCATTTATTACCATGAAATCAGTATAGAAATCTACTGCAAGCAACAGTATAAAGAACAAAATTCAAATTTTCAACACTAATGTCAAGTCAGTTGTCATCTGAAGCGGTGACGACTAGTGGTGTGCGTCAGGGATGCCAGCCCATTAACCCCATTTCTATTCAATTTCATCATAGATGTATTGATGGACTTAACCCTAACTCACTTCAGAGACTCAGGGATTGACTTACTACCAGGGAGGGAATAATCTCGTTGATTTAGAATATGCAGACGATATAGTCCTTCTAGGTGAAGACGCTGACAAAATCCAGGAGAGTCTTCTGAACACCTTGAGCTGCAATCTACGAGTGTTTGGCATGTGATTCGCTCCCGCCAAATGTAAGATGATGTGACTACAGGACTGGACTACACTGACTCCTAGATTAGAAAGAGGGAGTGAAGTGGTAGAGCACGTTGACCGCTTCAATTATTTGGGAAGTACCATCAGCCAACGCCAAAGGGTTGATCTCTGACGAAATCTCAGTATGGATACAAAGGGCTAGTTTCGAATATGCCATTTTACACCGTCTCTGGTGTAGACGTGATATCCGGCTGGCTGCCGACCAAAGGGCGGGTGTACTGCTCATCAGTCCGCTCCGTCCTTCTTTATGGCTAGCTGTGAGACCTGGCCATTGAGAGTGGAAGACATGAAAAGAATTGCTGTATTTGATCAAAGGTGCCTGCGTTCTATCTCCCTCCCGTGTGAAGTGGTATAATAAGGCGAGCAATATTGAAGTTAGACATAAGTCGAGTTCTAGGTAGGTGGGAGGGGAAATCAATCGACGAGACTGCGAAATTACATCGACTGAGATGGTTAAGACATGTGTTGCGTATGCCTAGTTATCGCCTTACTCGACAATGGGCAATGTTAGCTGACAAAGGGACTGGCTGGAAAAGAGCTAGCACATGGTGGTCAAACCAAAACACGGCACCAGTCAATGAAATGCATAACAGTTAGTCTACGCCAGCCACGTAGGGAGGTGTAGACTGGCCTCCTCGTTAAGGTCCTCGGGACGGTAAAAACCAATGGTTGGAAACAATTGGTGATATGGCTCAAAGTGATTGTTCTCAATGGTTGGATGACGCAGATGCATCCACTCCTTGTGACTTATGATTTCCAATGAAACTATATCTTTCATCGTTATTACTATTCCTTTGTCTCACACATCTGCTTACTGTCTCTATTATGCATTTCTTCTGTCTGTCTGTTTTCGACATAGAACTTTGCACAAATGTGCGGAAGTTCAAGTCGCCACACTCCGTGTAGCACGCGAAGCAAGAGAAGAAAGTACAAGAAAAGCATAATAGAAACAGTGAGCAGAGGGGTGAGACAAAGGAAGAGTAATAACGAAGAACAAAACAGTTTCATTGGAGATCATAAGTCACAGGGAGTGGATGCATCTGCGCCACTGAGAACGGTTTTGAGCCATGTCACCAATTGTTTCCAACCATAGATTTTTACCGTCCCGAGGACCCCAGCCTGGAAGTCTACACCTTTCTTCTACTTTCTTCTCTTGCTTTGTGTGCTACATCTGGGGAGTGTGGCGACTTGGACTGGTGCACATATGTGCAAAGTTCCATGTCGAAAACAGACAGAATGTCAAGTCAATCAGTGCTAAAGATCCCATGGATATTCAGGAAGGAAGGATATGTGTAACAAGGGATTCTGGAGTTGCACCAACATAACAGCCTATCACCGCCCCTCAAAAAGCATGCTGACGGAAATGGAGATGGATCGCATATGTGCTGAAGAATGAGCGTCACAGGAGGAAATCTACAGCTTTTTGTGAAACGTTTTTAGGATTTAGGGCCAATGAGATTTTCAGACCTGTTGTGATAGCTATATTGTGTAGGTCGCCAAATAACTACGTTTTCTACTGTCATTCAAAAAATCGAATGGACAGTGTCATTCGAGAAATGACCATATATATAATTCTTTCAACATTGCTTGTAGAGGAAGGCGGTGGCTCGAAATGTGAGTCATGCGTAGAAGACATTTCAATCGAGGTAACCTAACAACCTCTTCGTTTCACTTTTCCTTCTCTTACCTAAAACTCTATGTCTAGCCTCAATATTTCTCACCATAGTGTACAACTTTATGCGGGTGACAGAAGGCAAAAATTTGTGGTCAAATGCACTTAGTCTTCCCATAGCATCCTGTGTCACAACTGTAGACAAGGGCATAAGACCAACTATCATCACTGTTCCCGACCAACAGTGGGGTTAGACAGGGTTGCCCAATCTCTCCATTTCCCTTTAACTTTGCCATCGGTGACATTCTGGAGTCAGCTTTGAAGGATGTACGTGAAGGTGGTGTAGATCTGCTACCTGGAGATAGACTTTTCGACCTCAAGTATGCAGACGATATCGTCTTACTATGCGATAGCATGCAGGCTTCCCAAATCGCAATTAATCAGTTGACGATCAATGTCTGTAAGTATGGTATGTACTTTGAACAGTCTGAGTGCAAGGTACTGTTACAAGACTGGCAGGAGCTTTTACGTGCACTCACTCTTAAGGGTGAGTTGCTTGAAGTTGTTGATAAGTTAGTGTATCTGGGTAGTTGTGTGAGTGGTGGCGGAGGGGTGACGGATGAGATTTCCAACCGTATAATGAAGGCTAGGGTGGCATACATCTGGCGCGGTCGCGACGTTAGCCTAGCTGTCAAAGATCGGGCATACAATGCTTCGGTGTGGGCTGTCTTGCTCTACGCCTGTGAAACCTGGTCTCTTCGAGCTAAGGATGTGCGGCGGTGACTCTGCGTGTTCGATCACTGCTGTGTCCCCAGGATCGCCTGCGTTCGATGGATGGCATCATCGCGTGGGTAATTCTGAAGTTCGGTGGCGTGTGTTTGAACACAGTCGTCAACTGGAAACACCGGCTCCGGTGGCTTGGACATGTGTTGTGAATGTCATCCCAGAGGAGGCTTCCGTACAGGTCTCTGTTCACTAGCCAACCCTGGGACGGGATGGAAAAGGCGGAGAGGTGGTCAGTGCATGACGTGGCATCGTGGGATAAAGAATGTTTGTGCTAGATTAGTATCGGTTGGTGGTGCGTCACGACTACCTGGTTGGGGCGCGCGAGATAGTTCAAATAGATGGCTTGAAACGTTATCGGATATGGCCAAGAATCGCAATCGTCAGTGGCGAACGTGTTGCAATTTCCTTCTTTCTTCCCTTCCCGATGGTAGTTGACGAATACTGTTTGAACTTGTTAAGTATGACCGTTTTCCTTCCAGATGACGTTCTTTATCCGTTCTCTACTTATATTGTTTACTCTTAATCTATGTTGTTTTATTATTATTGTGTGGCGCATCTTCCTTAGTGCCATTTTGTACCAAGCCTTTTTTTTCTGCGTCTAAATAAAAATAAGACAAGAACAGGGCGAAATAACACGTAGCACACACACACATCCTTTGATCGACAGCCAGTCGGATATCATGTCTACGCCAGAGAGATAACGTAGGTTGATAACAAATGCCCCGGAAGCCGCTTCGACATGTCTTGAGATTTCGTCCCAAAAACAGTTTGAGGAGGTTAATGCAACTCCCACAAATAAGTGAATTTGTTAGCACGCTCAACCACTTCACTCCCAGTTTCCAGCCAAGCTAAGAATCTGCGCACTAAAGTCCTGCAACATCATTTTACATTTCACAGGAGTAAAACAGTTAATAAACTTTTCTAACATGTAAAACAATTGGTCCCTTTCATAAATCTTCACAGCATCATTAGAAAAGGGAGATTATCTGAAAAATGTGATGTATTGGGGCTATACATTTCGAACAATCTGATCACACATTTATTTATCAAGTCAATATATATGGAAAAGTTAAATTAAACAAAGTGACAAAAAAAGAATTAAGAATAATTAAAATCAAAACAAGTGATTCAGCGAAGAGACTCTTTTCGACGAATTGATCATCAAGCTGTACAGTCGTATATATATGGTTTTTAATAAGTTATATCCGGTGAGGGAATTGAATCATAGGTGTGAATGCATAAAATAATAATCATATGAAGTTCAATTAGAACTAAAATGTTTGTGATTATAATCATAGTTAAATGTTAAGTGGCAAAGCAGATTAATGTCATATATAGAATAATTCATAGGAGGGATAGAACTTGAAAAAGGATGTGCAATTATAGGATTAGTAGACAAATCGAATAAAACAAAAACGTTACGTGATATTGTGTGAAATTTAATAGCATAGAATTTATCGTTGTAAAAAAGAATTGATTTAGAATGACAAGTGGAACAAGTGAAATAATACCGGGGACAGTTCAAAGTGAGAATAGTGATAATAACGACTGACTTAATAAGGAAGGGGATACAAATTGAATAGACAAAATGAAGAAATGAAAAATTGGTAGAGCTAAAATATGATTGGGGATTTCCATACTTTAGCAAAGAGGGATTAAGACCATGAAAGTTGGAGGGAGTGAACGAACCTTTTCTGTACACAGAGATCTGGCTTTTCTGTTTCGATAGCCATAGATGGCTTTAGCAATACATATGAGTCGGGTATGTAGGGATTTGGGTAAATTACTATTTCATGGAGGATTTAATCATGAGCTGACATCAGTTAGAGAACCACTGGAAAACCTGGGAGTACTAGACAGCCGTTTCGTCCTAGTTTGGGACTCCTCAGCAGTACGCACCCACCGGGAGTCGAACCCAGGACCTTCTGGTTACAAGGCGAGCTCGTAGACCATTGAGCCACTGGGACCCGATCCAATGGTCCTTGAATTCTAACTTCTGCCAGTTCACGACATAGCGCGACCACTTCGCAATGTCTTCTTCGATGAGACATTGCGAAGTGGTCGCGCTATGTCGTGAACTGGCAGAAGTTAGAATTCAAGGACCATTGGATCGGGTCCCAGTGGCTCAATGGTCTACGAGCTCGCCTTGTAACCAGAAGGTCCTGGGTTCGACTCCCGGTGGGTGCGTACTGCTGAGGAGTCCCAAACTAGGACGAAACGGCTGTCTAGTACTCCCAGGTTTTCCAGTGGTTCTCTAACTGATGTCAGCTCATGATTAAATCCTCCATGCAATCAAACAAAATCCCTACAAAAACCAATACTTGTAAATTACTATTTGCCTTGTAGATGACTTTAAAGGTGGAGGCTATAGAGATAGGGTGATCATTATCGACCAGATGTTGAATGATCGCGCTTCTTATCGCCCTACTTCCACCTCCTCGTAACCATGCAGGATAGTGTTCTTGCACCCTCTTGGAAAAAACTTGAGTCGAACGACCGATATACCTAGCTCCACACGAGCAGGTGAATTGATAAACAAACACACACATAGTTAGTCAACAGCGGGATCTTGTCCTTCAGGTTACTGAACAATAATGGTCGGCTAGTAAAGGCTATTCTCAGAGATGCAGCAGGGAATGTTCTTTTCAGGGAATGTGATATCCTTCGTTTCATGACATCGGAGGCTAAGTCCCCTTGAATTCCAAGCTCATGTAAAGTATTTTCTTGGGAACGCTTGATAAGTCACGTTTTGTAGGCTTTGAATGTATATTCTTAGCTATAAAACATGGTGTAAATCCATTTTCCATTAGGATTTTCCTCAAAATGTATAACTCATCTTCCACAGTATCAGTGCTACATATGCGCCGAATACGAGTGGCTAAAATATGGTAATCCCCAATCATATTTTAGCTCTACCAATTTTTCATTTCTTCATTTTGTCTATTCAATTTGTATCCCCTTCCTTATTAAGTCAGTCGTTATTATCACTATTCTCACTTTGAACTGTCCCCGGTATTATTTCACTTGTTCCACTTGTCATTCTAAATCAATTCTTTTTTACAACGATAAATTCTATGCTATTAAATTTCACACAATATCACGTAACGTTTTTGTTTTATTCGATTTGTCTACTAATCCTATAATTGCACATCCTTTTTCAAGTTCTATCCCTCCTATGAATTATTCTATATATGACATTAATCTGCTTTGCCACTTAACATTTAACTATGATTATAATCGCAAACATTTTAGTTCTAATTGAACTTCATATGATTATTATTTTATGCATTCACACCTATGATTCAATTCCCTCACCGGATATAACTTATTAAAAACCATATATATACGACTGTACAGCTTGATGATCAATTCGTCGAAAAGAGTCTCTTCGCTGAATCACTTGTTTTGATTTTAATTATTCTTAATTCTTTTTTTGTCACTTTGTTTAATTTAACTTTTCCATATATATTGACTTGATAAATAAATGTGTGATCAGATTGTTCGAAATGTATAGCCCCAATACATCACATTTTTCAGATAATATCCGTTTTTTAAAATGACTTAAAAGTCTAACAGCTCAAAAAAGATTGAATGACACATTTCTACAGCCAGACATTAGCGACATGTACTTTTTTATACTCTGCCATGTGTACCATACATAATATAGTAAGAATTAAGACTTTTACTGATGAATTAGTGAGGTTAGTGCTTATGATTTACTAGAAACTAGATTAGTCTGAGCTTTATCCTGACTAAGTACATGTGCTCCAATATTAGGTTCACACCAGAAATCTTACCAAGAAAATTGAAATAAATGTTCTGTAGTGCTACCGGAATCAATGTACTTCAACTGACTAAACAATAATTACAACCAAACCCAGGAGTGTACTGGGGCAGCTACTTCGTTTTAACTTGGGGGTCCATGGGATTCTAGTGAGAAGTCGTAACCAGCGGTATCCACCAAGTCAGATAAGAGGACAGTGTCACCCGTCCGTGATATTGGCTGGCGGTTGCGCTAAATATACACATCAAGAATTGGTAGAATTTAGAATTCATGGACCATTCGGTCAAGCACCAGTGGTTGAATGGTCTCTGCGAGCTTGCCTTGTAACCAGAAAGTCCTGTAGTTCGGACCTTGGTGGGTGCATGCTTTCAGAGAGCCCCTAAGTAGCTCGTGATTAATATCCTGTAATCAAGCAGACCGTGAAAACCACCAACTGACAATTACAACTCAATCTGGATAACGCTTTGTGAGTAGGTGGTTCAATCGAAGAACATTCACCAATTAGGGACGTGGTCTGGGTTTAATATCCTGCCAACGCACACTCCTACACTTTCCCCTTGCCCGTAGTAAGCAAGCCCGAAGAGGACGGAAGGGTGGGGGTGTGAGAATAGCAATGCCATCTCTCGAAAAAAACAGTCATCGAAATTTTAAAGCTCAACCACCTGGAAGCTCTATATATTCCAGCTCGGAACGTAAAGGAATGAATGATGAAATTTAGAAAAAAATAACAGTTAGGAATATCCCTAAGTCAATCAATTGATTTCTTGATTTTCCCGTCCATTGATTCAACTGAAGTGCTCGGTCTCAGGTTGACATGTCTGTCAGCTTCTTGTGCAGATGCTTCGACGATGTCTGAGCATTTATTTAGTATTTAATTGATGGATGGTGACTAGCAGTGGAATCCAGCTTGATGTGCATTTCGTCCTACTTGGGACTCGTCAGCTGGATGTACCTGCATTTCTCAGTGGCTCAGAGGTGGCTCTCGAGACCCAAGTGGTCTAGTGGATAACGCTTTGGCTGACGTTTGAAATTATGGGCACTGGGTTCGAGCCTCGGTGGGAACATCATCACTCACTGCCTGGGGAATGCAGCTGACGAGTCCCAAATAGGACGAAACGCGCGTTATCCTGGATTCCACTGCTAGTCACCATCCATCAATTAAATACAAAGTTGAATTAGTTTAAATTATCTTCACGCAAAAACTAGATACACAAACAAACAAACAAAGAAAAAGAAACAACTGTCGAAGTGACAAGTTAAGCAGATAACCACCTACCTGCGATGTGGTAAATAGATTAAGGAGTAGATTGAACCACCAACACAAAGCGGAATCATGATATACATTAGCCAACGCATAAACTCTGCATCCAGTTGATCAGTGGCTTTTTCAGCTTTAGAACGTTCACCCCAGTGGATACCTTTACGAAAACTAATCGACAACTTTGTCATACGTGCTAATTTCCACAATTCAATAATTGTAGATATTCCCATTGGAACAGAGACCAGCAGACTGCTTTTCTCCTCCCATAAGTGTAGAAAAATAATTAGGGAGCTGAAAAACCTCCATACAACTATATGCATATGTGGGAAAAAACAGAAACAAAGGAAAGAGTTTAGAAGTCAGGTAAAATCAGAGAAGTTAAACAAAAGAATACTGCGATTAGAACTGTCACAACCAATAATTGCAGTAAAGTATTATTGGTTGGAGGATTTCACCATGAGCTGACATCACTTAGAGAGCCATTGTAAAGCCTGGGAGTACTGGAAAACAATTTCGGGAATCCTCATGTCGTGAGAGCTGGCTGTTACTCGAAATTGGTGGACAGTAATTTACGTCAATGTTTGTGTCCCCAATATTGGTCGTCAAAAAAGTGAGAACAAAGGCTTTGGGTAGGCGGATACAGTTAGCGTATAGATGATCTGACATTCAGGAAACAGCCGCAAAGAGATGCAAGGTTAACTTTCTGTGAGAAACAACCAATCAGAAGACTGTGTTTTTCTGTTAACAATAATCTGTAATATGTACATGAAAATCTCTTAATATGTGTTGATTTCCTTAATAAAAAATCTGTTGCCTGACTCTTACCTTCTGCCATTACACTCATGAGTACGCACCCAGCGGGGTTCGAACCCTGGTTGTATACTGTCACAGGGCAAACTGACATTGACAGTTTTGGGTTTGACCTTTCCTAATTTTCTACTCGACAGTGGAGAGATGGCATAGCCGACTTACTGATCGGCTGAAGGTAGCACCTTACTGACGTTACACACCACCCCCCGTTTGTTTTCCGGCAGCACGACTTTGCCCTCAGACTCCCATCACCGAGTTCACGATTTACATTCTAACGGCAACTGCTTTTAGTCTAGCCGATATCCAAACGAACTTCGTGGTATAGTAGGACCTGCAAGAAAATTCCTTCCAGCCAGGGTAAGTCATTGGGTCGTTGACATATGCAAACCCGGTCAAGTCTCTTGTCTTCTCCCTTTGCATTTTGCGTCACTACCTCCAAACAATGAAGACTCTATGGCCTTCTGCTTTCGAATAAGGAGACATAAGGAGCTTCTTGTGGGACTTTGACGATGTCGCTGATTTGGTGAGCGTTAAGGATCCAGGGGCAATGGTGGCTTTACTGGGGACGCTGCTGAGAGGTCAGGCAAAGGCAGAGTATGACAGTCTGAAGCGTCCATGTGATAAACAGACCTGGAAGGTATTGGTTGAACGGTTGGTGGCGGAGTTCGACAGTCCGACAGACAGACACACAGCAGACAATTCCGTGCCATGAAGCTTGAACCTGATGGATACCCGCTAGTAGTGGAGGCGCAGCTGACAAGTCTACTTCACCACGCGCTTCCCACACTTGATGAAGAGTCTGAGACGCAGTCGTTGACTTCCCAGTTTACCAAAAGTGTATGAGAACACAATGTTCAACAATTACAACCGGCTAACGTTGTACAATCTAAAGACCATCGTTGAGCTAACGAAAGTGACAAGACAGATACTGAGCACAACAGTAGCCGCAATGTAGACCCACCTAAATCGAACCAGTGGGAAAATCAAAATGACGGAGTCCTTCCATTACAATACTATGATAGAGTAATAGCAGATATTATTATTTTCAATATCTAACATACCCAGATCCAAATGTTAACATTTTGTTAAGTTCACCACGATTAAGCTCTTCACAAGTCATTAGTGTGACTAATCAAACGAATAACGAGCTGGATTATTAAATTATTCGTCCCCACCCCCACGATGTGCAAGGCTTAACAAAAACAAATGGACCGAATAGTGCTCAGTTAACTCCACACACTATAATCGAATGAATGAATGTTACTCAAGACAATCAATCGTAATTGGATGCAGTGGAGGTAATGAGCCCCACACCTAGTCTGTGAGGGCTAGGTGATACCGTTAAATGGCTACCCAAACTTCGATAGGCAGAATGGGGTTCGAACTTGTGACTTATAGATTAGAAAGAACCAAAAAATTCAAATAAAAGCGATTCTAGTAAGCATAAATTAAAAAGTACTGATTAACACAGGTGCAATTAGCATCAGGATGCACTAGACCTCTAAAACGAGATTTCCTTTAAATCCTGAAATATTCAAGTATTGGTTTAGCAGGGATTTTGTGTTTGATTGAATGAAGGATTTCATCATGAGCTGACATCAGTTAGAGAACCACTGGAAAACCTGGGAGTACTGAACAGCTGTTTCGTCAGGCTATTTGGGACTCTTCAGCAGTACGCACCCACCGGGGTTCGGACCTCGGACCTTCTGGTTACAAGGCGAGCTCGTAGACCATTGGGCCCACTAGCAACTGGCCCTATTCAGGCAGTTAACCCGGGCTTCTAGTGGAAAACCGTGACCAGTAGGGTACAGCAGGTTGAAGATGAGGCAGTAACTCATCGAAGAAGACATTGCGGAATGGTCGAGCTATGTCGTGAATCGGCAGAAGTTAGAATTCAAGGACCATTTGATGGGGTCCCAGTGGCTCAATGGTCTACGAGCTCGCCCTGTAACCAGAATGTTCTGGGTTCGAACCCCGGTGGGTGCGTACTGACGAAGAGTCCCAAACTAGCCTGACGAAACAGCTATTCAGTACCCCCAGGTTTTCCAGTGGTTCTCTAACTGATGTCAGCTCATGATGAAATCTTCCATGCAATCGCGAAATATGTTGCACAATACCGATTCGGATTGGACAATAATAATAGTAAGAATCCAATTCACCTGTACTTTCCATCTATTCGCCTGTAAATCATATAATGAATGATGCATTGAGACAGTTCCGACTTTCTAAACCGAATTATATAAAGTGGTATGTAAATGCATGGATCATCGTTTGGGCGTCAGATGATTACGCTGATGAATCACACCTGTACTACTACTACACACTTTGAGATGCAGCGCAACACTGACGCATACACTGAAGCACCAAGTGAATTACAATGTTCCCGAGAAATCCCGTTATACATAAAAGCCAGGGAAAATAATCATTGCAGATGAAGGATTAAAATACACCAATATACAATAGTGTAAGTAACCATACCATACCACGTTAAAAAAAAAACACCAGTCCTCATACAATCACTGAATTTAGTGCGTCAGAGGTTCGTTGCTAAAAATACTCACCAACCACGAATGTGCAGCCCGGGTCCGACTCCCAGCCAGTACACTGAACATCTAAGGGAAACACCTTACTGCTGGTAGGTACATACCAAACTGGTAATCTTGTAAAATACTAGTATTTGTCTCCAAATTATTTATCATATTATCATACCGAAAGCGTTTCACAAAGTAGACAAATCGATCCTAGTTAGAAGGATCACTGGGCCTACTGTATCAAGATTACAAGATGAGCTCATTGCCATAAGTATACAACATGGGCACTGCACTGTGGTAGAGTATAACTCCATTATAGATACGATTTTATTTTGATAAAGTGTCACACAGTGTGCTATACAGTAATATTAACTGATGACCACGTTTCAGGCACAAACTATTTCTCATAATCACATAAGGTCACTCACACAACTTTTTTACTTCATTTGTATACATGAGTGCAACTGATGATTAGAAATTTGAATAAAATTAATATAAGATAAAGTACATTGGGAAATAATATTAGTATTACCAATAAAATACAATCAGGTGATGAATAAGATGTTTTTATAGTAAAATAAATAAATAACTTGTTAGAATGTTATGATGTACGTGAATTGAAACAGAATTTTACTATCCTCCTCTGATATGACTGACTGGTGGTAATAATATCTTCCATACATAATCTCTGGTATTTGCATTGAGTGGAGAAACTTATAATGATAATAATGATAAATAAAAGAGAATATAAGGTATCTACTTTTACCATATAAGGAGGGGACATCTGAGGCCCTATGTAGGATTCTCAATAAAGCAGGAATTAGGCTGATGGCATTCAAACCTACAAATTCACTCATACAGGACAAGCTCTGTAGGCTAAAGGACCCGGTGGACCCAATTAAACAAAATAATATAATTTAAAAAAACTTTGCAATGACTGTGAGTGATATCAACTACATAGGTCAAACTAGTAGGTCGCAGGTAGTCAGATTGTCGGAACATAAGAATTCACCTAAGGTAAGAATGACTGACCCCGAGAAGATGAGTAATTTAGAAAAAAGCTCAGCAACCGCCCTGTATGCATTAACACACAACCACACAATACGGTGATGGGACATAGTCAAAATTCTAAAAAGTAATATAGGTAGTTGGAGAGAGAGATTGGTTACTGAATCCTGCCTGGTTCATCGAGTCTACACCCAACACAACACATGCAACAGAAATGACTCAATGCAAATACCAGAAATGTGGAAGATATTATTACCACCAGTCAGTCAAATCATAGGGGGATAACAAATAATCTCAAAATTCTGTTTCACTTCACTTACATCATAACATTCTAACGAGTTACTTATTTTGACTATAAAAACATTCGTCTTATTTCCCATCTGACTACATTTGATTGATAACACCAATATTCTTAATTCTGAATGTACATTATCACATATTGATTTTTATTCAAATGTATAATCGTCAACTGCACTCATCTATGTAAAAAAAAGTACACAGTTGTGTGAGTGAGTGGCTTGATATGATTATAAGTGGTGATAAATTGTGATCGAAACGTGGTCATCAGTTAATATTACTGTGTAACACTGTGTGACTTATCAAAATAAAATCTTATCTATAATCTAGCATACTACAACTCATCATCTCCAGCAAGTTAGAAGTCTTTTTGGAGGTCAACAGAACTCAGCATGAAAAATAAGATCCGGATTTTCAACTTCAATGTGAAGTCAGTCAGTGCTACCATACGAATGGATCAGAGACTTGGCGCCGCGTCACGAAGGGCACTTTTAACCAACTACAGACCTTCATCAACAGCTGCCTTCGCTCAATACTACTCAAGATCAGATGACCAGAAAAGATCAGCAGCAGGGATCTCTGGGAACGAACCAATCAGGAACCGATTGTGCAACAAATAAGCAGGAAGAAATGGAGGTGGGTTGGACATACTCTGAGGGAACTATCCAATGAGATCACTAGACAAACCCTCGAGTGGAACCCGAATGGGAAGCGCCGAGTTAGTCGTCAGTGCAAGGGTAGAGGAGATCATGTAAAGAGGAGATGAAAGCATGCGGGCAGACTTGGAGCCAGATGAAAAGTTTAGCAGAGAACTGAACGCAATGGAGACGTGCGGCTGAGACCCTATGTTCCTCTAGGAATTAAAGGAAATAATAGTAATATATGCGTAAACATCACAAAACCCAAAACATAGAGCATGAATGTCTACGGTGTAGAATATGCATTCATTGTTAAACATAAAATGGCAGAATTATTTACAACTTACCTGTTCGCATCGACAGACCGACTGTGTTATCTGCATGTCGCCAAAATGAAATATCATTTTTGAAAGCCAAGAAGTTGAATAACAGCTAGATAAATTTGGATAGCAGAAATTCAACAACGTATTTATTGAAATTATATATATATATATATATATATATATATACAACGTCTTCTGGACTGCAGCGACTCCTAGATTAGAAATAGGGAGTGAAGTGGTAGAACACGTTGACCGCTTCACTTATTTGGGAAGTACCATCAGCCCCAACGAGTTGATCTCTGACGAAATCTCAGCACAAATACAGGGGGCTCGTTTCGCATTTGCCAGTTTACGCCGTCTCTGATGTAGACGAGATATTCGGCTGGCTGCCGACCAAAGGGCGGGTGTACTGCTCATCAGTCCGCTCCGTCCTTCTTTATGGCTAGCTGTGAGACCTGGCCATTGAGAGTGGAAGACATGAATAGATTAGCTGTCTTTGATCATAGGTGCCTGCGTTCTATCTCCCATTTGAAGTGGTAGGTGTAATAAGGTATGCAATATTGAGGTTAGGCACCGGTCGAGTGCTAGGTAAACAGGGGAAATCAATCGATGAAGTTGTGAAGTTACAAAGACGGAGATGGTTAGAGATGTGTTACGTATGCCTAGTCATCGCCTTCCTCGACGAGCAATGTTAGCGGATACAGGGTCAGGCTGGAAAAGAGTTAGTGGAGGTCAAACAAAAACATGGCACAAGTCAATGAAATCTACAACAGTTAGTCTAAGATGGCTACGTAGGAAGGTGTAGACTTCCTGGTTGGAGTCCTCGGGACGGTAAAAACAAATGGTTGGAAACAATTGGTGACATGGCTCAAAATCGTTCTCAGTGGCGCAGATGCATCCACTCCCTATGACTTATGATTTCCAATTAAACTATGTTGTTCTTTGTTACTACTATTCCTTTGTCTCACACCTCTGTTTACTGTCTCTATTATGCCTTTCTTGTACTATCTTCTCTTGCTTTGTGTGCTACATGGAGGGAGAGTGGCGACTTGAACTGCCGCACATTAGAGCAAAGTTCTATGTCGAAAACAGACAGACAGACGTGTTCTAGAATAATGCATTGGCTGGACAAAAACCGTATAAGCGTCGAGTGCTAGGTAAGTGGTGGCGTGGGATTAATCGACGAGGTTTTGAAGCAGCTGCATCTATTTTAGATGGTTGGGACATGTGTTATGTCTGTCTGTCCATTTTCGACGTAGAACTTTGCGCCGATGTGCACCAGTTCAAGTCGCCATACTCCCTCCATGTAGCCCACAAACCAAGAGAAGAAAGTAGAAGAAATTCATAATAGAGACAGTTAACGGAGATATTAGGCAAAAAGAATAGTAATATCGAAGAACAATATAGTTTCATTGGAAATCATAAGTCACAAGAAGTGGATGCATCTGCGCCAACCAGTCACTGAGAACGATCACTTTGTTGTTTCCAGCCTTCATTGGTTTCGCCGTCCCGAGGACCCCAACTAGTAAAGAAGTCTACACCTTCCTACGTAGCTGGCTTAGACTAACTGTTGTGGATTTCATTGACTGATGAAGCTATGTTTTGGTTTGACCACCACTAACCAGCTCTTTTCTAGCCTGACCCTATGCCAGCTAACATTGCCCGTCGAGGAAGGCATGCATGCGTAACACATGTCCTAACCCTCTCAGTCGGTGTAATTTCACAGCCTCGTCGACTGATTTCCTCTCCCACCTATCTAGCACTCGACCGACGCCTAACCTCAATATTGCTCACCACTTCACACAGGCGATAGAAAGCAGGCGCCCATGATCGAAGACAACTAAATAGACAACTGAATAGAAATGGGGATAATGGGCTGGCATCCCTGACGAACACCACTAGTCGTCACCACTTCAGATGACAACTCGCCATAAGCCCTCAGTTGGCTGCATGAGTTCTAGTAGAGTGAGTGCCTTGATCAGTGCAATGTATTTTTTCGGAATTACCTTTACAGCCAAGCATCGCCAAAGTACCTCTCGGTCAACAGAATCGAATGACGGCGGCCTTTAGGTCAAGAAATATAATGATTGTTGGACACCGGTAGGAATGCCTACGTTCTAAAATCTGTCGGAGGGTGAGGATATGATCAATACACCCTCTTACAGGTCTAACGCCTACCGCGCCTGCCGCCAGCTCAGTGTCCCTATTGCAAAAATATAAAAGCGGCGACATTATAATCGTTTCTTAATTGTATTTAAAGTCTCACATGACCGATATTCACCACAAATTCGATAACAAACATCAACCTCAAACTTTGGCCATTTATTATACACTTAACAAAAAACAACTAATCTTCATCGTTTGTAAAACCATCAAACAACCACAGAAGAAGTCATCATAAAGAGCTCAGTTGTTGCACACAAAAAAAAGAATATGCCCACTTAAAAACTCACATGAAAAACTGAAACAAATATTGTGGTTATCAGAAGATAGAAATTCGTGTCCAGAAATATGCCACGTACATCATTTATATCCTTTTCGTTTAGTCCTGTGCAAAATAGACAAAACATTTGATAGAATTAAGGCATCAAGGAGGAGTATCAGACATAAAAGGTGTTTACGGTGAGATGAATAAAATTTAAGAACAGTTCGAACTGCTCTATTTTACATTTAAACACCAAGTTTCATATGCCAAAAATCCAGCTCAAACAAGTGATTGGAAAGCTGATATAAATGAGATCGTTTCAGTACCCGACTTAATGAGCTGGTACATCAACCCACATTCCCAAGTAAAAGCCGCATATTCTTTGGCAAAGCTGGAAGACACTGCATTCAACAAGGTACTTTGATTCAATCGGATGTAATTTTGACAATACGACTATCACTTACTTTTTTAGTTATATTCTATTCTTTGCATTATCTAAGTTCATTCATCGATTTATCTTCTTTCAACCAACTGTCTGTCTGTCTTTCTGGTTTCAACATAGAACTTTGCACCGGTGTGCAGCAGTTCGAGTCGCCACACTTCACTCAGCACATAAAGCCAGAGAAGTAAAACAGAAACCTCATTGCGATATATTGCAGTACAAACTACATCCCAATAGAGGAAGTGGGTTCATGGATATCCAGATGTATTTAAGTAGAATAACTCATTTTAGAGAACACATAGATGCTCAGATACCCTTAGTTTGTTCCGAAAACACTTTTGTATTTTATTTATTTATTTGTTACCCATTTGTAATCTTTGGTGACACTATCTCATTTAGTTAACGACCCTAGCTGCTAACATGACTGTTACTTATAATTTTCTTCTTTTTGTATATATGACTTTAATGTCACTACAAATACTAAATAAGAACTGCCATTAGCAATTCTGTAACATTAATTTCACAGTTTCGATAAAGAAAGGAAGACGAAATTTGCAGAAGCACAATTCGAACACTTATACCATCAAGTCTATGACCTGAAACCCTTAGACGAAGATAAAAGAGGATGGCTAAATTCTAAACTTGTTGATATTGCTAAGCAATACCACATATCGCCAATGGAGAAGCAGAAGATGCTGATCGAAGAGCATAGAATAGCTCTGAAGAAACTGTATGAGAACGATGATATCGTCATATTTAAACCTGATAAGGGCTCTGGGGTTTTTATAATGAACAGGGCTGATTATATACGTAAAATGATGACAATTCTAAACGACAAAGAGAAATTATAAGTAGACAACAAAAAAGATGCCACAACGTTGTTTGAAAATAAAGTAAATAAATGTCTCAGAGAACTTCTAATGAAGAAACTAACCAACAGAGAAACATACAATAAACTGAAGTCAAAAGGTGGACACCTGCCGTCTATGTACTGCAAATTTCGCCTTCCTTCCTTTATCGAAATTTATCAAGGGAACCAATTGTATGAAATTCCATAGTTGCTTTTTATGTTATTCGATAAAATTAGATGCAATATTGTACCAAATGCTGGAAATTCCACACAGTATCACTACTAATGTTTTGGAATAAAGCAAGTTATTATTGCGATAAAGTAGCGATCACGCTTCATCATAAAATATAAATAGAAACTCCACAAAGTTAATAACCTCTTTATTCAGACAGTTATCCAGTATATACGGAAGGTGCCTTAGACCTGCTTCCCAATCCTTTAAGTCTGCACACTACAGCAATACAACCTGCCTTCGCACACATGAGGGCTACTGGAAAACAAGAAGTTCTGTACGTAGTTAGTGGGTGACATTATTATGTAAATACTACTGGAGTAAAAGTGATCCCTTTTAGAAAGCTTCAGCTTGTGTATTAAACAATGAGACCCAATGAGATATTTGCAGACTATTCCAAATAATTTCTACACAAACAGACTGGACTCCCGACTACTTTTGATCTATATGAAACAGATCCTTTATCCCGTGGAAGCTACAGGAGACAGGGACATTACTTAAGTGTACACTTAACAAACTAAAATTCAGGAACGACTAACCGATTCAAATAAGCCAAACATTGCTGTACACAGTATATATTGTAATGGTGTTACTTTCGCTTGAACTTTAAAGAAGAATTCTTCAAGTACACTTCAGGTGTACTTGGATGTTTTATACGGAATTACTTCAATCTTCTTTAAGATATTATAAATTGGCGTACATTCCATCAGTTACTGAGATTATTAACTATTATTAAACTAGACGCTAAAAGTACAATATGGAGATAACACGCAAAAAATTTTACCGTAGGAGCGCAACTGGTTAGCTATATTTTCTAGCATACACCGCAAACGGATACTGCCGAATGAAGCTGGCTCAGCAGACAAGACTATTTCCAATTGATGATTCTCAGGCAATTGCTTCAATTCTAACCAATCAGTTGAAGTTTGAAAATTTGGATTAACATATATCACTGGTAAATATCCTTTTGAGCTTAAACGGATTCGCCGGGCCATTTCTGCAGGTATATTATACCGGCTGAAGTTTACAGCACTATTGAGTATATAAACGCGTAACGTGGATAACCAAAACGGTACAAGCTGGCTTTGATCATTACTTGAACTGTCGTGTGATCCCTATACGGAAAAAAAATTTACAGAGTAGTTAGTGATTTTCAAGGGATCATGCTGGCAAACCAATTCGTAGGAAAATATTTTTCTTAAAAACACTGTAATATTAAGTCAGTATAACCGGAAATAAATAGGATATGAAACAACACAAGCTAAAACTTGAACTAAATGATGCGAGGATCAATGCATTTTTAAACCTAAGCAAAAAATTAAATCAAGTAATTTCTGGATCGCAAACGCAAACTGAATCATGTTTTCTAGGGTCACGACGACACACTTTTCAAGACACCATTTCGCTAATAATTTTTCTTCAACTTATACCGAACGTATGCTTCAAATTAATGCTTACTCGTGAGTTAACAATTAGTACCACATTTGCCACCTTGTACTAGTTGTACATAGAGGTGGGCACAAACAATGGGAGCATCAAAAAGCTTACATTCATTGAGGGATCGAATAATATATATATATATATATATATATATATATACTTAGTTTGCACCCTTAACTATGGGTGTATTTATAAGTACTTCACAAAAGAGATAAATTGACTTACATCATTTGTCAACAGGTTCAAAGCAGTTCGAGTAGGTTCCTTGTAGGTCACTAAGTTTACTTTTTCACTCTGAACAACCTCACCATCACTTGTTACCAATTGTAAACGGACGAGTGAGGATGCTTTATCGCCCAGACTTCTTGAAAATGTGTAATTGAATTTTCTTTCAAAAGGTAATAAGTTTTTAAATGATGAATTACGTCACGACTCCGTCTCCGATTCGAAAGACATCAGTTTTTACAAAGTTTTCGACGTGACTGTCTTTTACAGAATCCAAACTTATCTGGACAATGCAAGCATTGCATTTTAGAGTAATGAAATTCACCTTAAATAAGTCGTCTGCCTTCCATGCTGGTTGCAGGCATCCCACAGACCCTTTACAACTTTTGGGGTAAAATATCTCATACATTGACCAGGAAGTGAAAAGAAAATACCCTAGAGATACAGAAAACAAAACATAGCTGAGCTTAAACATATTGGAAAAATAGCCCGCCGTTAAATGACCTTGTGCGTTATCCTGTATCTTATGCTGTTTTCGAGTTATTTTTCTTCTGCTTACTGGTAGTGAAGAAATCGTTAGGAGTCTTCAGTGCATTTCCACACTGTCACTGACGTAATTTTCCTGCTGCTGAAATAGTGAACGCTATCGGGCGAACTGTGAAAAGGGAGTGAATCCAATATCCAATATCGTTTTTACGAGCTAGTATAAACCAATTTGATTTCTTTGTGCTCGCTTCTTGATTGTGAGGTATAGGTTCCCGATCTTCGGTAAACTTCTGCGTAGCTTGTCCCGCCACTCGACTGTCGTAGCTTTGGTTGACTCCAAAGGGAGTAGTGCTGGGATTAATTATATGTGGTTTGTAGTATGAGGTATGTTAAGACTGTTACTACTGTGATTGGAGTTGATCCTTTTGCCAGTTAGTCCTTCGGCATCGTCGACAAGAGAAAAGCGGTAGTAATAATAATAATAATAGTAATAATAACAATAGATATAATTAGTGAAGCTATTCAGACTAAGGAGAGTAAGGAGAGTAAGACGGGAGAGAATGTAAAGAAGTAAAACTACGAGTTTAATTGTCTACCCCTGATTGGTATATGGGATTTTAAGGAGATAGGCCATTTGAATGCAGTCCTTGTATCGCTGTATGGTTGTCCAGCCTTCGCTTAAAGGCGTCCAAAGACGGTGCCATAGCTACATCTGCCGGCAAGGAATTCCAGGGACGGCAAACCCGCAGTGAAAAGAAGTGGGAGCGCACCCGGGTCCTTGCCCTCTGGTGAGCTATCCTTCTGGGATTTCCACGTGGGAGCCTATACCTACTCAGTGGCAGAACACCTTTGTTTGGGTGATTCTGATCATTTGTTATTTTGTAGGCAGTAATCAACCCCCCTCAAGCCAACGGTGTAACCCAACCCTTACTACTACAATTTGTTAACTCCCGTATTCTGCCTATAATTCTCTATTGCTCCCCCTTAGTCTTTCCTGGGCTATTGAAGAAAGACTATACCTTATTACGTAGGATGTTAAAGGTTGTCAGCAGGGTAAGCAGCTTGCCACTTAGCCAGCTTGTTAACATTCTGGTGGACAGGCACATGGACTCATGTGAAAAATGGGCGAAGTCCATTTTATCTGACTCACAACACCCTCTACACTCACAACTCTCCCCATGTATCTCTTCAGGGAAAACAAGAAGTCTATATAGGAAACTATATGCTCGCACTAGTAAGTACAAAAACTCATCCATACCCTACCTAGCCCGTGTTCTGTGTGATAAAGAATGCATCAGGCATGAAACCTTTAACTTATTAAATAGTCACTAGAACCAATGAATCTCGTCTTTCCAACTCACATCATTTATAGGTACAACGTTTTCTCTCTCTTCATTCTGTATTTATTTTTGTTATGTGCTGTTTTGTTTCTCTCTTCCTTGCAAACTCTACTTAAAACATTCTTGTTCGTTCTTTTACACTCTGTATATCTCGACCATTTTGCTATCGCTTACGCCAGTAAATATGCTAGTAGTATCTACTTTTGTAACACCTTCAAACATTTTAATTTTGGCTTTGCTACCGACATACTAATATGTTGTTGAGATAATCTTTAAACTATGTAGAACTTTATTTATTGTTAATGTAAACAAAAACTGGATGCAATATTGTAGTAAAATGCTGAGAATTCCATTCTGTATCACAAGTACTGATTTGGAATAAAGCTTATATAATAATAATAATAATAATAATAAAAGTCTAAATCGGTCGAATTTCTTCAGCCTTTCATCATATGGTTTGTTTCGGAGACCAACCACTCTTTTTGTTGCCTATCGTTGAACTCTTTCCAAGAGGTTGTCATCTCTTCTAAGCATTGGGAGTTCAATAATATTATGCACTTCAAGGTGTGGTCTGACGTATGTTTTGTATAACCTTAGAAAGAGCTCAGGAGTGAGTGCACCTAACAGTCTATGTGTAAACTGTATGGCCGCATATGCCCTTGTTACACCCCCCTGTAATTTTCGCTTGTGTCCATTTTTCCATGAGAACCAGAACTAAGTCGCGTTCCGACGTTGTGTAGGACAAGCTTTGATTGCACAGGGTGTAACTTGCATTCTGCAGTCTACAAGTGCGTAACTTCACTACTTTGCACTTTTTCAGGTTGAGAGTCATACCACTGGCCACCGCCCAGTCTTCTAGAAGCTTTAGATCTTCCTGCAGCCTATCTGGGTCCCCTGGACACTTTATCGCCCTCCATATCTTTACTTCGTCAGCGTATAGAAGGGTAGGGCAGCTTAGACAACATGGTAGATCATCAATAAAAATCAAAAACATCAGTGGTCCTAGGATAGAACCCGGCGACACTGCTGATGACGAGCTGTGCCAAGATGATCGGACTCGATTGACCTTAGTGCGAAATTGCCTTTCAGCTAGGTAGTCCTTTAACCATGACAGAAGAGGCTTACATTTACCTGCCTGGCTTATTTTGTGAAGGAGAAGGTAATGGTTAATGGTGTCAAATGCCTTTTCGAAATCTGGGAAGACCACATGGACTGGAACATTCATATCCCAGCATTATATCCAAACGTCCCAAGCTGATAGTAGGTTAGTAACGCAGGATCTGCCTTTTCTGAAACCATGTAGGGCTTCATGAAGTATATTAGACCTATCGAGATAATCTCTGATGTCGTCGTCAATAATACTTTCCAGTACTTTTGATACCACTGGGAGTAGAGCTACTGGTCTATAAATAGTGGCATATTACCTATTCCCACCCTTGAAGATCGGAGAAAGGATGGCTCTTTTCCACTCCCTTGGCAGTTTCCCCGAATCCAGTGAGTGTTGGAACAGGTCGCGTAGGGGCCTACATAGAGCTTTGGTGCACTGTTTCAGAACAGACGGCCCGATGTCGCCACAACCTGTGGACTTCCCAGGTGTGAGTTGCTGCAGCTTCCTTAGTACTATTGCAGGGTTTATTTGGGGAGTAGCCACTAGGTCTTCCTCCTGTGAAATAGCACTGCCACCATATTGGTCCGTAACGGTAATACCCACATTGCTGTTTTGTTGTTTGGAGAAGGCTAAAGTGAATGTTTCAGCCATCTCCAGACTAGTGAGATATTGACCGTTTGGGCCCACTAAGCTCCATGCCCTCTGGTTGGTTTTCTTTCCGTCATGAATCGGTACAAGTTTTTGAGGTTTGCTAGGAGTTTTCAGTAAGGTTAGTTTGGAATGACCTCCTGTCCCTCCTGACTCTCGCGTTGCACCGGTTCCTGAGTTCCAGGTATGCGTCGTGGTCGGTCTGACTCTTGGATACGCGCCACGTAAAACAAGCCTTCCGCTTTGCTTGCAGAATACGTTGCTGTGATGACTTTCTTTTGGGTTGTGTTGTGACTAAGGGAACGGTATCCCAGATTGCTGTATGAATAATCCTTTTGCTACTTTCCAGTGTTCACCCATGGATAACTCATCCCATGCTGAGGGCCAATCTGCGTCCGATAAAGGCCTCCGCATTTCAGCATATTCCGCCTTGCTATAACAGACACGGTCGCGTAACTGCCCACTCCAAGTGCTCACGGAGAACAAATTCGAAACCTGTAACTGCATGGTCACTACTTCCTAGAGGAGTCATTAACTTAACCTTTTCGACGAGTAGTTGGTAACTAGCTAGAATGGAGTCTAGCTTCGATGACTTTCCGCTAGGGCCCCACCTAGTGTCGTCTCCAACATTCCCAGCCAGTCCTGTATTTCGAATAGTTTGCAGTAGATTCTGGCCGAATTTCCTCTTAGCATACCTCGAGCCAGGGTTCAGCGATGGGCCACTGAAATCTCCAGCTATGGTGATTTGGTCATAACCCATGTCCCGTATCCCTGTGATGGTGCTGAGCAATAGCTGGTTGTGCTCTACTCCACAGGTGGGTGATCGGTAGATGCCACCCAGTGAATGTCTGGTGTGGCCTACGGTGAAATGACATCATATGGAGTCTAGGAGTTAAATAACTGGTTGGCCCATTGCGCGTACACATTTAAGTTGCCTGTCAAAGTATATAGCAACTCCCCCTCCTTCCCTATTATCCCTGTCTCTCCTGACTAGATCCAAATCACCTATACTGATTTCATTGTCAGAGATAGTGTGGGTCAGCCAGGTTTCAGTGAGAATGATTATTTTACAGTGCAGGTGCGACTGGAGATCTCTAAGTTCGCCAACCTTTCCCCTCAGTCCTCTCACCTTGCTATATAAGCAGCTGACAGTGAGTCGCACAACCTCAGTGTGTTGTGGGGTAGTTGACATTAAGCTGTCCGCTGGTAGGGGACTTAATGTTGGGACTAGTTGGCTGATTCCGATGGAACCGGACCATTGTATTTTTTCCCATGGATTCAGGTAGGACACTTGGATGATACAGAATGTTAGTACTGCATCGTTCTAGTGTCTCTGAGGCTTGGGGAGGTATTAAAGCCCCAGTATGCTGCCTCGTAAGGGTTCGAGGTCTCCTTCCATAGCACCGGACGTGTCCTCCTATTTTCCCCCTGGTCTCATACCACCGTTGAAGTACTGGTATGTATCCACATAATATGTGTGTTTATTTTTGAGAGTCTGTTATATTTTGCTATGTATATATGGATCGATATTCCATTATAATTGACAGTAAGTTTTTGCCTGTCCGCTAACTAAACAAACATGTCTGACCATGTTGTCACCTTACATTACAATCAATCATGTTAAGACTGTCTATTGATCCGTTCATTTTTGAACATTCGCTCATACACTTGTGTGACATTGATTTTCCTTGTTTGAAAAATACAAGTATCATCGTGAACCTGATGGTTTTCTGATTTCCGCCTTCTTGCGTCAGGACTATTAATTACTCGACCAGTACATAATAATTACTATGGCCAACTGCCTCTGGGAGTTGAACGTGGCACTTAGCAGCCCTGGAGAACTAATCACTGTGGGATGAGTGGGACGAGGTAGTCGGAAAAGGGAGATTGCTCCAGAAGCGCCAAGGGCCATCCGAGATGACAGCCATCC